ACTAAATGTCGTCGGTAAAACGTATTTAAGGTATTTAAGCTAATAAGAAAAAGAAGAGGAAGCTAATACACGTAAGTCAAGCTTAATTAATTGGTATTTTACTGCTACTAGATTTTAGTTTATTGCTGGTATTTTTAGTGCTTAGTTAATATATGCACATTAAGTTTTATAAATAACAAATTCAGTGCTAAAACCATTCAAGCAGCCATTAAAATATATTTCTATAGCCTTAACTGTCACTTACAACTGACTGACGCAGCTGTTTATTAACACGCAAAGTGGTTAACCGTTACAGTCCCTGTGGCTGGAAATTCTTAAGTTCTCTAGCTGCTTTTTTGCCACTATTAGCCAGCTTTTACTGTACATACCTATAGCAAAAAAGGCCTGCACACGACTTTTAGATAACACAGTAGATGAAAAAAGGTGTATTTGTCTGGAAAGCCTTTGAAAGCGCCTTTGAACGCGGATCATGCAGTGTTATTAGCGTAGATAAACAAATGCAATGTTGATAAGGAATTAAGCGGATAACTCAAAAAGGGAAGTAAAAATTAAAAGGTTTTCTTAGATAAAAGCGCTGCATAATATTTGAGGTAGTGCACGTACCTACATGCATACATGCTTACGAGTACATGCAAAGTAAAAAATTTCCAATTCATTTGTGCGGCAAAAATGCAACATGGAACGTTTCGGGTATGCCTTGTTTCACAAAGTATGTAATTACAGTGTTTGCCTTTACGCTGTTTCAAATGTGTAATAAAATAAATTTCAATAATCGCGTAAAGTCCATTAAAATCCTATATACTCGCACAAATTATGCATTTACTTTATGTGTTTGCAATTTTATTTTTTGTAAACATTGTGTGAGCAATCAATTATACAATTACTTATACACAAAATAAATGTTGAAAAATGGTGTTAATTATACAGCTTAAGCGCTTAAAGTGTACAGATAATAAGGTTATCAACTGCGTTTGTTGTACTTAACAGCAGCGAGCAGCATATTTAGAAAGGCTTACTTACCAGCCCTAATTCCGTTGTAGTCCTAGTGGCAAGAGTACCTATCGGCGCAAAAGCGTGCCGTTATTTCATGCGAAAATCAAACGTCAATAGAGACTAAGTTAATATAAAATATTTGCAATTTTGATTAAATTATAGCTTTTTTGATTCAACTGCGATTAAATTATGCGCAGCCGACTGGTTTTTAGCGCACAGGAAATCTAAATAAAATAGTCGTACGCTTACTCAATCAGCAGTGACGAGTTGTTAAGTCGTCGAGTTTTTTCTATGTAGTTTTGTGTTTGTGTATGAAGCTACAATTCGTTTCAGAAAAGGCACGCATTTGCATTTTTAATTAAGCACATTATTGATGCTTAACACATTAATGGCATTATGACGTTTATGCATATAAAATACTTGAGTATTTTTGCCATTAATTATACCATCACTTGCATGCCGACACCAATGATACCGGCGTTTTTTTTTTTCCTGTTTTTATTTTTTAGTCATTTGCCACCCACTGTGCATGCGTACTTTTAACATTTATGTAAATCACATTTATAGTTACCAACAAAAGTATGCATGCTTGTTAAATATATTTTTACTCGGAAGACAGCTTTTCACTTTCCCGCTTAGATTTGTTTTCTCAAAAACTAAAGTTCAATGGCACAATGAAATTAATTATTGATTTTTTTTGCGCATTCAACTGAGCTTAACTTTCTAGAAAAAAAAAACAATGTGAACAATAAGAGCCATTGACGTACGCAGACGCTTACAAATCAATAACTTTGGGATATGCTGAAATCACATGTAATGGCATGCCCTGTGTGTTGGCTAAGGCCACCTATTTTACAACTTCAACTTGTGAATCACATATTTCAAAGAAAATGTGTATTGTAAATATTTCTTGTGAACTTTGGATTTTTTTTTTCTTTTTGGAAACGCTCCAGGTGACTGTAGAATCTAAGAAATTTTGTATGACGCGCGCATAGCCCAACAGCAGTTATGTTTCGGAGTTTTTTTTATATTAACTCGTTTTATAACTTTTGAGATTGTTGATGCTGTGCAGAAGCTTTCATTACATTTTATGCATAAGGCGGTGATGAACAGTGCCTAACAGAGCTTTCTTAAGCTTACTATAGATTTTGTAAAGCTCTCTCTGCCCATTACGGGCCCGCGGGCAAGGCGGCCTACACGCCAATGAAAATCAAAACATAATTACGCGGTAGATGCTTTTTAAGCTTTCTATAGATTTTATGTGGAGGAGTATAGATTAAAAGCTCTATCCGATCGTCACTGCTATAGACCAGAGTTGGCCAACGGAAGCCTGTATTTTGTGCCTGCCCTATACAAATTGTACAGAGGGCTTTTGAAAGCTTTGGCACGCGGCCAACTGGATATTAGACACGCACATTTTAAAAACTCTCTCTGTCCAGACACTGCTGTAAGGAATGAATGGAGATTGCATGGAAGCTTGCATAAAGCACTATGAAAGATTTTAGTTTTTCGCTTTGTGCTCGTTATTTATTCAATTAGTAAACAAAATTTTTAACACACTCAACTTTTTCGGTTCGTGCTTAATGCGACAACCATCACACGCGCTGGCTTCAAGAACTTTCAACAATTAAGCTTGCAAAAAAAGCAGATTCACGCGCAGTGTTGGCACTTCAACTACATAACTACAAATGTACATGTGTATATACTTTCAACATTTGCTATCTAAGCGGCACTTTAGCAGTAACATTTTTGGCAAGTTTGGCAACAACATCGTCGATAAGTATTTGAAATTATGGTTTTCCCAACACATTCAATTGTGCTCTTCAAGCCCTGGCTAGCGTGTGTCAAAAGTGAGTCTGATAAAAAAATATCTGTAGTGATTTGCAAAAATCATCAGTGGCATGTACTTATTTCGCATTCAAAAAGCAATTTTTTTGTTTTCTTGTTGAGCATGGCATGCCACTTTATCGCCAAACAATTTAATATTTTTGCTGGTAATTGTTTTCGAAAGCTACATTACACCTTGTACGAGTACTTTTGTTATCTATTACTTTTGGTTAAATATTTTTGTTGACATTGCGCTCCAAGCGCATAGCGGTCGATTAGAGTTGTTTAACAATGCTTATCAAGCAAAAAGTCTAGCTGATAAGCGGTAAAATGTCATATGTAATAACCCAAAAAAAAGGCGAGCAGCTCATTAACTAAATTGTGGAAGATCACACAGTTTAACTAGTGGTATAAACCTAACGGTTGGCTAGTTAAGCGACAGCACGGAATAGCATCAGTGAAGCGCTTGAACATATAGAAAATTTAGAAAAATTTTAGTAATTTTAATCGATAAATTCTAGTTATAGATATGTATATGTATATTATATTTTTTGCATTCAATTAATCGTAACATTTTCTTCTATCTTTTTTGTTGCAGAAAAACGATTTGAAAATTATATGGCCGACTATTTAAGTCAACGTGATATATTACCGCCACATCGCATGTCATTGCTGAAATTTCTGGCCATCGTAAGTATTTAAGCATACATTGCAAATGTTTTTATATCAATATTTTTGTTTAACTACAATAAATATTAACACAGTAAATGCAAAAATTTTCCATACTTAAAAACAACATTAAACATATACTACGCTCGCTCGCGCCAAAGAAATAAGTTGCGTATATAAAAAAAAATTAAAAAAAAAAAAATACAACAGCGCGCGGGAAAATCGATTAAAACTGTAATTTTATTGCTAGGGGCCTTGTCTTTTGTTTTGATTTTTATAAGTGTGTATGTATTTTTTGCTTCTTTAACTTGAACAAAAATCAGTTCAAAAGCAGAAGGTAAACATTTTTCTTTATAAACAATTGTAGTTCAAGTATTTGCGTTGAAAGAAAGCGTCAGTGAAACAAAAACATATTGCAATAAAAATGTTTAAAGCAAAATGAAGTGGGAAAGAAAAACACTAAATGTCAAGCAATAAGGGCACTAACTTCCTGCTTTAAAACAATAAAATCTGCTTAAAACGCCAATCCTACCCCACCGCAAATTACCTTGCTCGCGACAGAGTTGCCATAATTTCCTTTAACATAATCACTTCTCAACGCTCTAAATTGCTGTCAATGAAACAACGCAGTCATTTCCGTTTATTGTAGGATTTCAAAAAAAAAAACTAGACGGTTGTAAACTTTGAACAAAATATTCAAATCGATAACCCTACTACATACGCTTATGTCAATGCCCTAATCACGAAGGCGTATGGTGTTGTTAACGCGTGCAAATATTTCATCACACATATGGTTTTGTGTTTCTTTTACAAGCGTGGACCAACATGTAGAACTGGGCGCCTAATCTGTGTTCTTTATCAGCACTTTTCGCACAAATTTATTGATAAACCATCTTTGAATCGCAATAATTCCGTTAGCTACAAGCATTTTTGCAGCAATTAATAGCGGCACTAATTGTTGTTCATTGACATTTATTGACTGACAATCGGTCGAGTGATATAATGCGGCAGTTAAATTTTTGCGTCATTTTGCAAAAAAATATTCCCGAAAAAGGAAAAAATTTAAAACAAATGAGGTTAAATTAAAGGTTATGTGACTGAAGTCGAGTGAATGATGTATACATAGCACGCATTCAGCACGTGAAAGATTTTCGCTTTGAAAGCGGCATTAAACAAGAAAGGCGGAAAGAAGGAAACAAAAGAAGCACAGGAAATTTTTTAAAACTTTTGAACATCTGTTAGTCGTTAATTTTTGTAGCCAATTCAGTTTTCTTTTAATAAACAAAAGTACTAAGCACTATTTGCATTTCTTTGCCTCTATTTTGCACTTTATTTTCTTGTTGCATTTCTTCCGCAAAATAAATCTCGGACTTTATACTGCCCCTTTAAATGCGTCACTTGTGACCTTTTTCCTTATTTTTGTATAAACAATGATAAAAAAAACGATTCCTTTTTGTCGTCGCGACATGTATTGTACATATATTATTGCAATCAGTGTTGCTTACACAATATTTGGCAATTGGCTAATGTTTACGTAGCCAACGATAGACATTTCAGGTAGGTGCGAGGCATAAACAATGTTTGGTTCGACTTTTTAATATTCTTCCAAATACGCCAATTGTTGGATACTAAAACCATTTTGTTTATTTCACGAAATATTTCAAACCTTAAGCTTAATTAAGCGCTTTACTAATTGGAAATCCCTCTTAAAATTTGGATTTTTCAAAGCCAAGTTGTTGTTTAACGTACATATTTGTTCACACAAAAAATTAACACACAAACAACGAATGTGTGATCAGTGCAGAAGTTTAGGAACATTTCAAAACAATCTCTTGTCTGGCGCCTGTCTAGCTGTCTCATTGACAACACGCGTTGACATTAAAAAAATAAAATAAAAAAAAGTATAATCGCTTGTTCTACATACGCATTTATAAATACAAAGCGCACTGCTGTATTCGCTATAAAATACATATAAGTACAACTAATTTACTAGTCACATTATCACGTTATCAACTCGTTTCTTGGAGCGAAGTACAAAAAACTCTAACAACTACATACATATATTCCTTTTTTGTTCATTTCCTTTTTAAGTAAACAAACTAATTTACATTATATTTTCTTTTTTAATTTTAGAATGCATTAGAATTGAGTGCACCGGCGACGCCTGCGCTTCTGGAACACAATCAAAACAATCAGCATTTTAACGCAAACGTTAAACCGCCAGGTTGGATGCAATTGTCTGGACATCCAGAAAGGTAAATATGCCACTTCTGAGCTTGCGAAAACGCATTATCATAAAATTTTCATTGACGTTCACACATTATTTGTCACTCATTGTCACCATACTCATAAAATANATTTGGATTTTTCAAAGCCAAGTTGTTGTTTAACGTACATATTTGTTCACACAAAAAATTAACACAGAAACAACGAATGTGTGATCAGTGCAGAAGTTTAGGAACATTTCAAAACAATCTCTTGTCTGGCGCCTGTCTAGCTGTCTCATTGACAACACGCGTTGACATTAAAAAAAAATTTTAAAAAAGTATAATCGCTTGTTCTACATACGCATTTATAAATACCAAGCGCACTGCTGTATTCGCTATAAAATACATATAAGTACAACTAATTTACTAATCACATTATCACGTTATCAACTCGTTTCTTGGAGCGAAGTACAAAAAACTCTAACAACTACATACATATATTCCTTTTTTGTTCGTTTCCTTTTTAAGTAAACAAACTAATTTACATTATATTTTCTTTTTTAATTTTAGAATGCATTAGAATTGAGTGCACCGGCGACGCCTGCGCTTCTGGAACACAATCAAAACAATCAGCATTTTAACGCAAACGTTAAACCGCCAGGTTGGATGCAATTGTCTGGACATCCAGAAAGGTAAATATGCCACTTCTGAGCTTGCGAAAACGCATTATTATAAAATTTTCATTGACGTTCACACATTATTTGTCACTCATTGTCACCATACTCATAAAATACTTCACTTCTTTCACTTTAAACAGAATCGTTCTTTGTTTCACTTAACTTACCTTTCGTTGTTTTTTCTTTCTTTTTTTTAGCATTGTTCCCACAACTGCTGGCGTTGTGCGCAAACGCGTTGCCAGTCTTACGGACAATGAGGTGCTCGCATATAAAATGCTTACACAAGAACCACAAACCGCTAAAATTGTGCCACAATTCTATGGCGCGCAAGAAGTAAATGGCGAATACTTCATCGATCTCCAGGATCTATTGACTGGTTTCAAAGATCCATGTGTTATGGATATTAAAATGGGTTGCCGCACTTTCCTCGAATCAGAGGTCACAAACAAGACACTTCGTCCGGATTTGTACAAGAAAATGGTAGCAGTCGACCCAATTGCACCTACAGCTGAGGAACACGAAGCACAGGCCATTACAAAACTACGTTATATGCTTTTCCGTGAATCGATGTCCTCATCGCAATCGAAAGGTTTTCGCATAGAAGCCCTGCGCCTACGCGGACGTCCACCTGTAAAGGATCTTAAAACGGTACGCAATAGCGATCAGATTACACAAACAATAGAACAGTTCCTCGGTGCTAAGCGCTCCATAACAAAAGAGCTCATCAAGCGTCTAAAGCATTTGCGTTCAGTAATGGAAAAATCAGCATTCTTTCAACGGCATGAAGTGGTTGGCTCCAGCATTTTTATTGTTTACGACGATGATAAGGTTGGCGCTTGGTTAATAGATTTTGCTAAATCACGACCTTTACCAGCGGGAGTTAGTGTGAATCATCGTGCGCCTTGGGTGCCGGGAAACTGCGAGGAGGGTCTACTCAAGGGCATGGATGAACTTATCAACGCATTTGACAATGTGTATGCAAGTCATGGCAGCCGAAAGTGTTTACAAATATAAATTACACTAAAAGCAGCAGGGCTGCTTGTGTTGGAGAATTAGAAACACTAAGAAACCATTCTAAAACGATTGGTAAGGAGGCGTTGACGTTTCTTTCTTCATATTCGGGAATTAATATGAATCTAAGATAGAACAAAAGAAAATTATGAATCTTTCCTTATTTAAAACATCTGTATCTATTGTAATAATATTTTAAGATTGTTGTTATTCTGCCAGAAGACTGATTCGCATTGTGTGCATTTATACGGTAAAGTTTCGCTACACACCCTATTCATTTGTACGAATATTATTTGAATTTACCATACATAATTTGTGTTCGTTTGTATTTTCCATATTGGAAACAGCCTTAAATCAAATAATCGCGATCGCATTTAAAAAATCATTAACTCTCATATTTAATGAAGACTTTGCCGCAAATATTATATTACAATAAACTATTAAAAAGTATTTTAGTTAGCAGCTTAATTCTTAAAATCATTAAATACAAACAAAAATGTAAATAAAGATCATATATCAATTACTCGTAAACTGAAGATAAAACAAAAATAAAACAGGAAATATTGCTAAGTACACAAATTAAAAGTTTGAGAATCGGAAACATACGACAGCTGTCAAATTTCAGCTAGAAAGTTACTTAATACTTGTATGATCCTTTTTGTATGTAGCTATGTATAGTTTAAGCTTTAGTCTTACAATCTTTTTATATTAATAAAAAAAGAAGAGTGTTACCAAGTAAGTACGTAATAAATATTGTATCTGAATTGTGAACGAACAAAATGCTTTTTACTAATATATGGAAAAAACCATTTTCGCCCTACTCTCTACCTCAATGGAAAAAAATCTTTGGTAGCACTTACGTTTCCACAACGGTTCGATCTACGTAATCGGAACGATCCAAGGACTATCACACCAGTATTTTACACAAAAACCTGTTGGGTAATTTGTACGCTATTATTAAAACTACAGAGAAACACTTGCATCAGATTCAATATAAATATTACCACAATTTATATTGCGTTTAGGGCAAAAATATCACTGGCCGAGAAATAAATCATACCTTGATGGTTAGACTAAAGTAATTTTGACAGTCAGATATACATAGCTAGGCTACAATCTTCGGATAGATGTTTTTCACTATGTGTCAGTCCAACCTAGAACGCGTGAGCTGACGCAAGAGCGTTTCCATCAAGTAACCGAACTAGNAAGAAGAGTGTTACCAAGTAAGTACGTAATAAATATTGTATCTGAATTGTGAACGAACAAAATGCTTTTTACTAATATATGGAAAAAACCATTTTCGCCCTACTCTCTACCTCAATGGAAAAAATTTTTTGGTAGCACTTTCGTTTCCACAACGGTTCGATCTACGTAATCGGAACGATCCAAGGACTATCACACCAGTATTTTACACAAAAACCTGTTGGGTAATTTGTACGCTATTATAAAAATTACAGAGAAACACTTGCATCAGATTCAATATAAATATTACCACAATTTATATTGCGTTTAGGGCAAAAATATCACTGGCCGAGAAATAAATCATACCTTGATGGTTAGACTAAAGTAATTTTGACAGTCAGATATACATAGCTAGGCTACAATCTTCGGATAGATGTTTTTCACTATGTGTCAGTCCAACCTAGAACGCGTGAGCTGACGCAAGAGCGTTTCCATCAAGTAACCGAACTAGTTATTTTCAATTCCTCCTTGAAAATGTTAGTTCGGCATAGCGTTCACGTTCCCATAGAGATTTCACCGACAGTGAAATTCTTATTCTGTCTTCAGGTTATTGAGAGAGTGATATAGAGCTGGAAAACTATCGATGGTCGTGGCCATTTGAGTTATTTATTGCAAATTTTATTATCAATGCTTGTATACAACCAAAAAGTTAGTAAATTTATTAAGCTCAACGTTTGTTGAGTTTATTTTTGTTGTTGAAATAAAAGTTTTATAATTAAAAATTTGTTTGGATCAATGATGGGTATTTGGAGATTATCTTATTTTTGAATGTGTCACCATGAGATTTCACNGTCAGATATACATAGCTAGGCTACAATCTTCGGATAGATGTTTTTCACTAGAACGCGTGAGCTGACGCAAGAGCGTTTCCATCAAGTAACCGAACTAGTTATTTTCAATTCCTCCTTGAAAATGTTAGTTCGGCATAGCGTTCACGTTCCCATAGAGATTTCACCGACAGTGAAATTCTTATTCTGTCTTCAGGTTATTGAGAGAGTGATATAGAGCTGGAAAACTATCGATGGTCGTGGCCATTTGAGTTATTTATTGCAAATTTTATTATCAATGCTTGTATACAACCAAAAAGTTAGTAAATTTATTAAGCTCAACGTTTGTTGAGTTTATTTTTGTTGTTGAAATAAAAGTTTTATAATTAAAAATTTGTTTGGATCAATGATGGGTATTTGGAGATTATCTTATTTTTGAATGTGTCACCATGAGATTTCACAAATAATCATGAGAAAAAAAAACTTATTCATTCCGATATAATTAATTTGTATTTTACAAAGGTTTTTCTTATCCAAAACTATTCAATTGTACAATATGCCTAATCGGGGGGAAATGTTCTAAGCAGAAAATAAATTGCCAAATGAACCACCAGTGGCAACTGTCGAAGTGATCAGTTGTTTCGAAGGTTGCAAGTTTTTGCAAATTTTGCGTTCTCGGACTTATGTGGATATTTTGTCTCTTTGAGAGCGAATGCTGCTAAATTCTCAGAATTTTTGCTGCTGGACAATTTTGCCCGCTCAATACGAGTACACACCTAATTCCTTGTCTACAAAAGTCATTTGACAACGCCGCATATTTTTCACTCGGCTGCTGGTTCAATCAAACTATTAGGTGAGTTCACTCTTTGATNGTGATCAGTTGTTTCGAAGGTTGCAAGTTTTTGCAAATTTTGCGTTCTCGGACTTATGTGGATATTTTGTCTCTTTGAGAGCGAATGCTGCTAAATTCTCAGAATTTTTGCTGCTGGACAATTTTGCCCGCTCAATACGAGTACACACCTAATTCCTTGTCTACAAAAGTCATTTGACAACGCCGCATATTTTTCACTCGGCTGCTGGTTCAATCAAACTATTAGGTGAGTTCACTCTTTGATCGAAAATGCGAAAGGCAAAAATTAGCGTTTGTTTTGTTGCTTTGCTGTGCGTTTGTGCGAAACGACGCTATAACGGTGCCATATGTTTCTTGTAAAAAAAAACCGCCNGGGCAAAAATATCACTGGCCGAGAAATAAATCATACCTTGATGGTTAGACTAAAGTAATTTTGACAGTCAGATATACATAGCTAGGCTACAATCTTCGGATAGATGTTTTTCACTAGAACGCGTGAGCTGACGCAAGAGCGTTTCCATCAAGTAACCGAACTAGTTATTTTCAATTCCTCCTTGAAAATGTTAGTTCGGCATAGCGTTCACGTTCCCATAGAGATTTCACCGACAGTGAAATTCTTATTCTGTCTTCAGGTTATTGAGAGAGTGATATAGAGCTGGAAAACTATCGATGGTCGTGGCCATTTGAGTTATTTATTGCAAATTTTATTATCAATGCTAGTATACAACCAAAAAGTTAGTAAATTTATTAAGCTCAACGTTTGTTGAGTTTATTTTTGTTGTTGATTGTTGAAATGAAAGTTTTATAATTAAAAATTTGTTTGGATCAATGATGGGTATTTGGAGATTATCGTATTTTTGAATGTGTCACCATGAGATANGCTTTGCTGTGCGTTTGTACGAAGCGTCGCTATAACGGTGCCATATGTTTCTTGTAAAAAAAACTGCTAATATTTGCACTGTCGCTCAAACGCACACAATTTCGCATCAAAGTCTGAACTCTAATATTGTGTTGCGTTGGTGTGTTAAAATTGCAAATATGCAAATCCAAAGTGTACGATTAGTCAATGGCGAAAAGGGGATTGACACAGTGCACAGCTGTGCATATACAAAAGCAACAAATGCATCTAGCGCAGCAGCATTTGCAGCGAACACACAACAGAGTGACATCAACCGCGAAGGAAGAGGAAGTAGAAAACAACAAAAAGTTTAAAATTGAGGTTTGTGTCTTTGATGATTGCAGTACAGATTGCGCAGCGGAAATTCTATAAAAAGGGGATACGGACGCATATTGTGCGAAATGAANTCTAGCGCAGCAGCATTTGCAGCGAACACACAACAGAGTGACATCAACCGCGAAGGAAGAGGAAGTGGAAAACAACAAAAAGTTTAAAATTGAGGTTTGTGTCTTTGATGATTGCAGTACAGATTGCGCAGCGGAAATTCTATAAAAATGGGATACGGACGCNAAAGTCATTTGACAACGCCGCATATTTTTCACTCGGCTGCTGGTTCAATCAAACTATTAGGTGAGTTCACTCTTTGATCGAAAATGCGAAAGGCAAAAATTAGCGTTTGTTTTGTTGCTTTGCTGTGCGTTTGTACGAAGCGTCGCTATAACGGTGCCATATGTTTCTTGTAAAAAAAACTGCTAATATTTGCACTGTCGCTCAAACGCACACAATTTCGCATCAAAGTCTGAACTCTAATATTGTGTTGCGTTGGTGTGTTAAAATTGCAAATATGCAAATCCAAAGTGTACGATTAGTCAATGGCGAAAAGGGGATTGACACAGTGCACAGCTGTGCATATACAAAAGCAACAAATGCATCTAGCGCAGCAGCATTTGCAGCGAACACACAACAGAGTGACATCAACCGCGAAGGAAGAGGAAGTAGAAAACAACAAAAAGTTTAAAATTGAGGTTTGTGTCTTTGATGATTGCAGTACAGATTGCGCAGCGGAAATTCTATAAAAAGGGGATACGGACGCATATTGTGCGAAATGAAAGCGACAAACCGGAAACACACAAATTTTTGAAGTTTCAAGAATTTATTTCTTATTATTCTAGTTGACTATGGAAGCAATCGGCCTATAGAAGTTGCTTGCGGCACACATTTCTGCTTTCAAGATATTGACGATAAAATGTTGCTAGCACGCTGCAACATGAATGCTTTGTGTAGAATTTTGATTCCGATTCAAGGCATTCTTTTTATCACGCTGTTCTTCTTTTATAATTTTTTCCCCCTCTCAGCTCATTAAGTTTGTAGACGCACCCGGTAAATCAACATGCCGCGTTACGCGCTGCCGCGAGAAATTTACACCGCCAATGGTCCGGCAGTAATTATGCCCATTTGGTTATGCCATCAGCAAGTCTACGAACGCATAACGGGCGGATTTTGCGAGCACGGTCATGGTACCCTCTTTTATGCTACTCTATCGCTATCATCCGGCGGCCGCAACTTTCTTAGTTTTTGCTGAAACGTTTTGGCAATTGTTGTGTAGCGAACGATGGCGTACTGGGTTAACAATTTGGAATGCCGCCAGCGGATAAGCGTAAAGTGCATACCTCTTGTGATGTAGATGAGAGTAAGTCTGAGTGTACGGTTGATATGTGTTTTAGCATTTTTCAAGTAAGAAGGTTTCTAATTTTATTTTAAAGAAAATAAACAAATCATATAATCACTACGAGAAGCAAGCACATAGGTTCACATATTTAGTGCCCATCGTGCATTTCACGCATGAGCGGCCGCTAATGATTTTTTGCATGAAATTAAATCTCACCAATAGCGCTTTTGAAGCGAATTTAAATAGCTTACATTTAAACGAGGGTAGAGATTACGTACTTTTTACGTAAGTGGAATGGCTATAATAAAGTGAATATCGTCGTTTAAAATANTGAAATTAAATCTCACCAATAGCGCTTTTGAAGCGAATTTAAATAGCTTATATTTAAACGAGGGTAGAGATTACGTACTTTTTACGTAAGTGGAATGGCTATAATAAAGTGAATATCGTCGTTTAAAATACAAAACCGCGTATGTGAGGTTGCATAAATTCTTTTCAAGAGAGTAAAAACGCTCATATTTCAAAATGGTTCTCTCTTTTATAAAGCAATCGTATTTCTTGCTAGTATATTGNTAAATTCTTTTCAAGAGAGTAAAAACGCTCATATTTCAAAATGGTTCTCTTTTTTATTAAGCAATCGTATTTCTGGCTAGTATATTTCAGCATGAATGGATAAAGATTGAGACCAGAGCTTGTGTGAGCAAATCCAATTTTTGACAGCAAATGTCAGTTAAGCGGTTTTGTACTTTAAACGACGAGATGCTCGACAGGAAAACATAATTTTTTCACTCGTGAAATACGTGTTCCTTATAATTGCGTGCATTTTAGAAGTGCAATAAAAAATTAACTACTAATCATAATACTTTATACACAATTAACATATATTCAAACGCATTTTAGTCATAAAACGCTTGCATAACTTGCTCAATATTTTCATCAGCTCTTTAGAGCATTTGCACGTAACGATATAGTACATCAAACTCTTCAAATTTCGGCACTGCATTGAAGTTGCGCGGCACCTTGCAATATTCCGCATATATTTTTTGACTTTCCTCGCTCACTGTGGGTGGTTTCACACTCAAATACGAATTAGTTCCGTAATCACTTAGGGGTCGCAAGTTTATGCCACGCAATAGCTTTGCCATTTCATTATCGCGTTCACGTGGCGCCAACGATGGCGAAAGTGCAAAATGACTATTGCTTCCACTACATAATTTTCCCATTTGCACATATTTCTTGTAAATGGCCATATTCGCTTTAGATGGATTAGTGATCTTACATCCGTACACCTCTTCCATAGGCGGTAACAGCGACTCTAACGTAAATATGTCTTGCTCCACGGACTCAGTTTGATTTGCATCCTTAATGGAATAGCCTGCACTTATATCCTCATCAGACGAGGTATCATCTGCTTCGGATGTGGAACTCGATGAGTTGCTATTGGTGGAGCTGGTCGAACTTTGTCCGGTTAGGTTGGGATTTTTGCTTGCTTTACGATCCTGTATTTGCCGCTGGAATGGTGAGTAGTTGGTGCGGAATGTAGGCATGTAACGCAAAGCAAGCTGGCTAATCTCGAAGGCGATGTGCTCACTGAGATCGGTCCATTTGAAAGACTGATGGTAGTTGGCATATGCGTCGATCATTTCCAGACCTTTGGAATGTACACGAAATAGTTCTTTTACAATTTTATTCGAGTCCGAAGTGGAGTGGGGTAGACAGGAGCGCACCTTGTGGCGCACCCAGTCTGTAATGTGGCGCGTCTCATTTTGTGGTGTAAGCGGCTTATAAACGTTATGCATATAGTAATCTGTTTGCAATTCCCAAATTGGCTGATTTTCTGCAAAATTAAGATGCAAAATAATAAAAAGAAACGAACTTTATATACAAAAGATACCAACGTTTCGTATGGCTTTTGCTCGGTATGTAATAGCCCAGGAATAAGTTAATGCTGTGCTGCTTCTCGGTATCGCTGAAGGTGTTGCTGTAATAACGACTTAGCGTTTGCATGATGTCATTGCCCTGCGAGGCCCAAGCTGCTGTCTTTCGGTAAGTTTTAATGCGATGCACAAGCTGAGAGCCACCATACTGCAGCGCTAGCGTGTCACCATGCTCTTCATACAAATTCTCCAACATCGTTACACAATCTGAGTCGAATTCGAGTTTAGTGGATTTGACAAATCCTAAAAGCTCTAGTTGATGACCAAGCGCACATTTGCCTATGGCAAATTGTGCCGTATTTGTGCGATCTAGACAATCGACGCAATTCGTACGCACTATGCCTTTTTGAAAAGTGCATTCGCTACCACGCGCCTTGAAAAACATGCCGGTCTGTTGCACGACGCTCTCCGCTATGTCAGCTAGCATTTCCATGACATTGCCACCAGCTCGACTTTTGCGCGCCATGTCGAAGTGAATGTGCTTCATACGGTGTTGCGGCGGCAAGAACTGATTAAGGTAGCGTATGCTATAGACCAGTTCCTTAGAGATAATCGATTCATGCTTGCGTTTCTCATGTTTTTTAACCAGATTCAAAATGATAATAGGCGCGCCATAATGAAAAAGTAGGCGATCGAAATGACGCGCTGGTGTTTGCGCATATGGATCACAAATATCCACTTGAATCTGTGGTTTTGGTACCATCTTGACCACGTCTTGTGACCAGTGTGAGGGTATTGAACCGCGCATTTGTGTGAAGGAGCACATTCGTTGACCATCTGTAACAATTTGTTCCGTCTCAACTTCATTTGCAACATCGCCTTGATAGTTAGCGCCGCGTTTGAGAAATCGCGTGCCCGCAAATCGTGTACTACGACGTGCAATTAAACAGACGTTGACATGTCTTCCAAACACACTAATACATGACTGACTAATGTAGCCATGTGTGACCTCTAATAGCCAATCTTTAGGAATAATGCCACGCATTGGCTGCAAGAGGAAAGCATTCCAGACAAAGCGCGTACGTGAGTTGCTGCGAAAGGCATAATTCACACGCTCATCAGGCGCTACCACATTGTTAGTAAGCTTATTCCAGTCCGGCAACGGCTCATCGTGCTCCAAATCGACATTGGGTCCCACAAAACGCGGTGCTGATTCATTATACTGCAGAGTACGCGTCAAATCGTACGAATAGGAAAAGTAAAAATTACTGCGCAAATCGATACTCTGAAACATTTTTTTATAACGCTCCTCATAAGGATGCGGTGTACGCAATGTTGTCGGTTCGTTGACGCGCACCATTACCGTATCCTTGATGGTGTATATCAGATGCATGCCAATGTGTGCGCAACACTTACGCTTGGTAACGAGCAATAAATAATAGCCTTCGAGGAAGCGTACAAAACCTAGAACGCCGTAGGCTGATGTTACGCGCGGTGAGCTACCCAGCGATGCCAGGAATCGACGTATTTCAAGCGCATTCAACTCATCTGGATTCTCATCGATGACAACGCGGTCATGTTGAGTGCGATCAATTGTGAGCATACGAAAACGGGTTTCCCGATTATTGCTGCCAACAAGGTAGAGACGCTAAAAAGTTTAAATACCAATAAATTAAGCTTGGCAGGGTGAATATGGTGATAAATGCTTACGCTGCGCGTTTCGTATAGAACCACTTTCTGTATGGCACTAATAAGTGGATTAAAAAATATATTTGGGTTGTTGTTGTTCATTTTGTAATATTTATGTTTTTTTAATTCTTCGCAAAGTGGTTTTTCCAAGCAACATTAGTATAAATTTCGATTCATTGCACTGTGATGATAAATCCTTTATTTGTGGAAAAAGAAACAGCTGATTTTTACTTTAGAGATAACAGAGCCGGCATTGCCAGAATTTCGCACAATTATTTATTTACATAATCATGGCCAGATTGATGGTGGCCAGCGTTGCCATTTTGATACAATTGAAACATTTTTGGTACTTTTTTGTCTAATACCATTGGGGTATTTACAATCGTGACGTAAGTGTCGTATTGTGGTATGACCTAAACTTTAAACTCCTAAAAAATATATTAAGGGGGTTCGCTAAGTACCATCAAAGTTATATTATGAATTTTCGCAATGTTAAAAAATAGTTGGTGGTGGTTTCAAGTTTTCCAAACAATTATTTAAGCTTTTAAAAATTACGACATACAACAATACGACGCTTACGACATTCTGACAGACATCGAAAACATGTTGTATGTTTTCGTCCATGTAAAATCTGTGAAACGAAAAAAAGGTTTCCCTGAAAACTACGTAAAAACGCACAGTCCACGTATTCCAATTGGTGTCTGCACTAGTTTTTTTTTTCCATTATTTATCGAAGTGGAAGCCATATTTTATCATCTTTAATATACCATTTCGGAATTATTTTTAATTGGCTGGCCACATTAAAATAAGAATGAAAGTAAAAGGTTGTTTATGAAAAGAAATTAAAGAAAAAGTTTTTGGTTTTGTTTTTGTGCAGCAAAACTATAATCGAAGGATGTAAGAAATGTCAAAGAAAACACTAACCACCGGTGTGAACAACCCTCAGCCCACAATCCCAAAACTATGGTATAAAGTGAAATAAGAAGTTCAAAAACAAAAATTTCCACATATTTTCCTTTTGCTTTGGCGGCATAAACTGTCAAAATCTGTAACAGTGTGTGTGGAAAATCAAATAAAATTTTTCAATTTGATATTTTACGAGTTTAAGGGAATCCCCTAAACACGATTTTGTTGTCGTGTAGACATGATATAACAAACTTCCTTCCTTCAAATACTAAGCTGCATGAAGCGATTTTTTGACAGGCGATAATTTCCTGCAAAAGTTGACTTGCTGTTTACGTTGAGGCAAGCGATTTTTGAATCACCATTTACACGAGCGATTTTTCTGGAGGAATGTTGAATCGCCTACAAAATCGCCTCTTGTAAATCCAGCTTTAGGCCCATCTTATTATCTACGTTCTTTGGTAGAGATTGGTGATTAACTTCAAGAGCTAATTTTTAGATCATACACTTAAATGGCCAATATTGACAATTTAAATATGAGATATGCAACCCTGTGTTTGTACCAAACAACCAAGTTTGATAAGTAGGTTGTTTTATCAATCTTGCCAGAGAACAATCAGCTGTTCAGTACAAAATGTAAACAAACAAGCAAATGCAACAACAATTTCAAGGAGCAAGCGACAGTGTTGCCACTTGTTTGGCATAATTAAATAAAGTTGATCTGAAACCCAACGAAAGTTAAATGGCATTTAAATAACAATCAAAAATTAAACCAAAAAACGTTAATCGATAAGAGGAGAAAACACGTTATAATTGTAGCGAGTGTGAACATGACGTATTTGGGCAAAAGAGAAAGCACGCTCCTGATGTTCCCACTCGTTACAATTATAACGTGTTGTCTCTTCTTATAGATTTACGTTGATCACATATATGTATCTCGGTAACCGTTCTACCAATTTGTACCAAACTCGGTGTGGTTATTGTACTTGCCACATAGAAGCAAAACGTTGAAACTTATTGAAATCGAACTAAATTTACGGCCGCTTTTCATATAACAGTAAATTTCAGATATGCTTGAAACTTCTATATTTCGAAATTTAAGGACGCTAATTTACTCAAAATGGATACACCTCGGTTTACCATGTAGCGGTAGCTTTCGGAAAGGTGAAAAACATATATTTATACTTGCGCCGGGTATTTAATGTTCGGCTCCGCCCGAACTTAGACTTTTTTACTTGTTTTTTTATACATACGGCCGTTCGTCCGTTTTTATGGCTGTTTCAGTCTTTAATTATTGGCTTTGTTATTTAAAGCGAGCACACTGACACGAGTTTATTCCATATCGCGTTTGATGCCATATAAACTAGAAACTCTCCGAAGTTACACGGTTTGGTCAGAAGAGTTTTTGCTGGCAAAATCTTGAAAAGTGTCAAACTTAACTGAATTTAAATTAATGGAAATTAAAGAATAAACGAAAATAATCTAAAAACTAAAAAAAAAAAATTAATTGAAAATGGAAGGAGGCATTCTGATTTTGACTCGTTATTACCGCCATCGACTTCCGCCATTTACTGATACTAACTAGACAATCTTTTCTGAAATCCGTTCCAGGTATTTATAAACTTGACTCTTCCATCATTTTTTGAACAAAATCTGTCGATAATTTCGCATTGTATGAGCCCAGTCTCAAAATACGTAAAAAAAAAATTTTACTTTTTCTGACAATACTAATGTATATTTATAACTTTTCGAGACTATTACAAATATGGAAAAAATTACAACTAAAGTTCTCTATACAGTTCTATGCGAGCGTGAACGTGCATGTATGCAACCGACTCTATAGTGAACAAGGGGAATTCACAAAGACAAAAATTCTATTTGCATTCTTTTGCGTGCTCGCACATCTGATTTGCTCACATATGAATGCTTTTTGAGTGCGAGCTCGGAAAATATGCATATAATAAACTTTAAATAAGTTTTTTTTTATACTTCTGAAAGATAGTTTCGTTTTCTTTCTTTACATAATCAGCCCAATTCTGAATACTCCCAGGGAGTTTGTTCTCCGGGAATTTGTTTCTCCCGAGAAAGGAATACTCCAACAATTACTCTCAGGGAGAAGCATTTCCCCGAAAACTCCCAGGGAGTTTCTGTTCAGAGTCGGTCTGAATAACTATTGCAAAGAGTGAAGTAATAGCAAAGATATCGGTCAAAATAAAAAGTTCACGTTCACGCTCGCATACAACTGTACAGAGAAGTTAAAGCTTACAATACAAATTAACTTGCAAGTTTATTTGCTGCATTTAAAATAATTGTTGTAGTATGAAATCGCAATTCTTGGATTGCCAGTGACAATGCTAAAAACCGACACACGTTTCTTCGCATCAACATTTAGCATTTTTTCGCAAAGACAACCCCACTCTATTCCATAACAATGACTTATCGAACCAAAGTTAAGACCATTTTGAGCACTGCTTAGGACTAAACCCTTTAAATCAATTAAGTTCTTAGCGTTTTGAAAAGGACTAACACCATTACACATTTCATACAAAACACATCCCAATGACCAAACATCTGATTTAAAGTCATGTCTTTCTCCCCTCATTACTTCTGGCGCCATATAATAATATGTGCCAATAAGACCTTTTGTTGGATTATGTGAGCTGTGGACGGTCGAAATACCAAAATCAGCTATCTTAATCCTATTTTCCTTGTCCAAGAGTATATTTTCAGGCTTGAGGTCTCTATGAATTATATGTCGAATATGTAAATACTCAAGTCCCAAAAGAATATCAAATATAATAGAATAGAACATATTTTTCTTAATAGGAGGGAAGTGCTTAATGTTTCCGTTTATTGCATCTCGCACTGTACCATTTGTTGCATACTCCATAACAATGTTAACGCTGCTTCTGTATACGAATGCTCTGAAGAATTTAATAATGTTCGGATGTCTTAATTGAGAAATAATATAAATCTGTAAGTAAAAAGCATTGAGCTTACGATGCACAATTTGTGAAGTTTAAATGTATTTGCATTGTTCAACTTTCACAGGCGTTTGGTTTAATCAAAAGTTGGTTGAAAGCGATTTGTTTGCACCTTTCAAACAAAATTTTTACGAAAAGTTGAACAATGCAAAGGCTGCTTTATACACACCTCATCCATCAACATTTTCATCTCTTGGTTGGGCTGGCGAATTCGTATACGCTTTACACAAACATACCGTGCACCACAGTCCAATTTACACTTACAAAGAAATACATGCCCAAAACTTCCTTCACCCAGTATACACAGAGGTCGTAAATTCGGATCTCCTATGTCCATAATAGCTATTATTCCAGCGTTGACGAAATCAATTAGGGTTGGAAAAGACGACTGTGACTTTAGTCAAAAATCGACTTTTCGTTGAAAAAACTCGACTTTTTGGAATCGACTGCAGTCACCTCAGTTTGATTAAAATCGACTCTTACTCGATGACTTCGACTTTCGTTTACTAATGCCATGTTCTGACCGACAACGAAAACACCTTGAAAACGAGTTTTGGGATTGTGGGCTGAAGGCCGTTCACACCAACTGTTGGTGTTTTCGTTGACATTTCTTTCGTCCTTTGTTTACAGTTTTGCTACACAAAAACAAAACCAAAATACTTTTCCTTAAATTTCTTTTAATTACAACGTTTTACTTCCATGCTTACTTTATTTTGGCCAGCCAATTAACAATAAATCCGAAATGACGTATTAAAGATGATAAAATATAACTTCCACTTCGATAAACTAGTTTTCGTTTGACAGTTTTTACGTGGACGAAAACAAAAGTTTTAGGTCGAAAACCAGTTTTACCAACGAAAACAGGAAACAGCTCAATTTTTGCTTTTATATTAAAATAATAATGATGTTGCAGCCACGAGGTTTTCGTGCAAATGAAAATGTAGCTGCCAAACTACCAAATTGCCGGCAATAGATGGCAAGATATAAGCTCTGATATATATTGCTCTTGAAGAGCAATGAGCGGTCTCCATTGGCTATTTATATTCTAACATATGTATCAAGGTATAAACTTTATCCTGTGGAGACGGGCAGTTACACACGGCGATTTTTGTTACGGCAACTCGAAGTTGAAGAGAGCGCGACGAGGAAAGAAGAGGGGCACCGAGTTGCCCGTGCTCGGGCAACACGCTTTGTGCTCCCGTTCGTCTGTGTAAATTCAGTTAGCGGTTCGCAGCTGACAACAAAAATTTCATATAAAAAGGTCGCCGTGTGTAAATGAAACGAGCAACACCTAAAGGGAATATTCCGGGGCCATTTCAAATGAATATTTAAATGGAACTTAAGTTTAATCAAAGA